CAAATAGCTTGAAAAAAAGTTTCATGTTTGACGGGGCACACATTTGGAATTCTTTACCAACCGAAATTAGAGAGAGCAACTCCATCATGTCCTTTGAAACTAAAATCGCTACTCACATTTTTGAATACTCACATTTTTTAATGGTGTCTGTAATATACCAACTCCCCCAACCTCGCAGCATTAAATTACCAGATTAGTGATAATTTATGTTAATATTATGTAATTTATGCTTCTACCGAACTTGTCAAAATGGCGGATTTGCTCCTTCAAAAAGAGCTTAGCACCGACGAACGATTTAGGCTTTTAGTCACAAATGTTCCTGTGGGAATGGCCGGAAAAAACCCTCCAGCAAACCTGTCAAAAAGTGGGAATTATCTTGTTGACAAGAAGGCGGTTGGCATCGACTGGAAGCATACTACAAGCTCGTAGTATGTCACAAGCTTGTAGTATGTTACAGACACCGCATTTTTTAATAGCATTATTATTCTTATACTTATATATATATATATTTCTTACTGTATGTAATATCTTACTATATACTACATCTTTGTAATTTTATTATTGTACATGCCCCTTGTGGAAATCAGCCTAGGTTGACAATGGTTAGCATGTTTAAATAAAAGTTTCTATCTATCTATCTATCTATAGACAAGGAGGGGAAATTACAGTTGCAACTCCGGAGAATATTGGCAAAGTGAAAGCTGAAATAAGGAGGATAATTTCATTTGGCCAATAAATTGTGGGGAATAAAACAAAAGGGGAGTCAAAGAAAGAACTTGAGAAGCTTTTGATAGAGGAACTCCATGGCATTCAGAAAATACCTGCTTTGCTTTACAACAACCCAACAGCTACCCTGGAATCCATGAACTGTGACAAGTATGAAATACTTATTGGTAGTAAGATTACCAAGTGCACATTTGATTATAGATGTGCCCTTGTTATCCTTGCAAAACATTCCTCAAAGATTGTAACATCCAACATTGTCCAGCAACTATTGACCACCTTGGTAGAAATCCAAAGAATTGCCTGTAGTTTGGAATGTGAGGGGACCGCAAAATCAGTCCTGAGTCTTACACCATGACATGGTACCATGGGATCTTGTGCAGAAAGGTGTTCGGTTTCAAGCTGAAGGAACTGACAATGCACAAATTGTACGGCAACTACTACCACAACATCACCAGCCATGCTGCTATGCAGCATTGACTAATTAATGGCAAAGCCTGTAATGTTGAAGAGCATGAACGAAATTTCAACACCATCACTGACATCAAAATGTCAACATCCTCCTACCACCCAAGTCACATCATTGGTAAAATCTTCATCCGACTGCAAGCTGAGAAACAGATACAAGCTTTTCAAGGCTCTTCCTCCTTGAACCAGAAAACATCTGTTCCTGGATTAGCTGTATATACTTTTACAACAATTTGCAACTTATGGGAAACCCAGATCTAAGGGCATCTTTAAGCCAGGATCTTCATTAGTGCTATTAATACTGATTAAGAATTTTCATTTGTCATAATTATTATAAATAGTTATATAATTAACCCACCAGTACTTTCCCATTGAATAGGAAAATTGTCTGGCATTAGCTGATAGCCTAGTTGCCCGGCCCCTACACAGTTTATTATTGAACACTATACCTACACTGAACCATAATGTTTGAGGTATTCTAGTAATTTTATGTTTCTCTTGCCATTATTACAGATCAACAGTCTGGAACAACTAATGCAGAAAGCAATGGTTCAACAAATCAGCAGGTCACTGTCATTCATGTTGAAACATCGAAGTTCTTTTTTATATTTTTCAGGTGGTTGCATCATATTCAGTACACAACTTTGCAGCATGTATTATTTGCAACCTATACGGTCAGCCTATATTAAAGATTTCTGAAGTCATTCTATGGACAATTATTTGACAAAACAATACAATAGTTATGATATAAGATTGGGTGACAATATTGTTGATGCAGTAATGAAGGAACTCAGTGGCGTCGCCAGGGAGGGAACTGGGGGGGACGAGTCCCCCCCAGTTGTTCTAAAGACCAATTTTGAGATTTTTCTAAATCTGAAGAGAAAGGGGGGGGGGGGTACGATTATTTTAATTTCTAACATTTCTAATGTTTTTTCAATAATGGGTGTGATGAATTAATTTGAGATACGAACTTTGAATTCAATTAACATTGTTTTTGATAACGTAAAGAATAACATTATAACATGAAGTACAAATACTTCGTCAGCTCAAACCGGAAGTCAAACCTTTGCTTTTGCTCATTGGATTCATATTTTCTTTGGCGCCATTTATGGAAATCATAGATCCTCATAAATGGAAGCGCGCGACCCTTTTACGGAGATCGTCAATGAAGCGAATCGAGCATTAATAGTAAATAATTTGGGTCCTATTAGACCACTTATCGAATTTCCCGTATCAACATCTGGGAAAAGAACCTTCAAGTTCCAATCTCGTTGGTATGACCTCCATTCATGGCCAGAATATTATACAAATAATGAATGTTTATGAGTGCAATGGTAAGAATATTTTCATGAGGTGAAAGATGGAATGTTCCATTCAACGAGGCGACAGCCGAGTTGAATGGAACATTCCATCTTTCACCGAGTGAAAATATTTTTACCATTGCACGAAGAAACATTCATTATTTGTTTTATATAATACCAAAAGTCCAGAACAGACTAATAGATTCGTATGAGAAGCATTTTGAGGGATGCGATTTATCGAAAACACAAAGAGTGCAATTGTACTATACGTTTTATTCCATTGCACTCGCGGAGAGTGCAATGGAACGTGTTCCATTGCACTCTTGGGAAATGGAATTTTCTATTCAATATCACGTGACCATAAACAGCCAATTAAACGATTAGAATTTAATAAGGTATTATATAATCTGTACTGAAAGATGCAGCATTCTGTTTTAACTGTAGGTGCTTCAGGACACTTGGTAAGTTCACTAATATACAAACTCGTGATATTTACAACTTTCAAGCATTTAGGAATTTAATATGAAGTCTGCTATCACTGTTTTTTTAATAAAATTGCGTTTGAATGTATGATCCTAGGTAGCCCCTAATTAGTAGCAATGTCACGATTGCGATGCATATACAGTATGTAATATCGCAACAGCGACTGAGTAAGTTGGACTACTAGGGTAGGATGTGTCAATATGTTATCTATCGTATTATTCCGTACGTATTTATATAACTGGCGAAGGTAAATAAATAAATAAATAAAGTTTCAATTTATTAAATTTAATAAATTGGGATTAATAACGAGCAACATCCTTTTGCGCCTACTAGACAAAAGGCTTAATAAAACCAAGAAGCGGTTTTGACAGTAAATTAACACTATTTCTACCTTCCGGCAATATCCTAATAGGATTTTTTAAAACATATATCCAGCTGTTTTGACACTATCTGTACCTTCCGGCAATCCGCTATTTTGGGCATATCATACCTCAAGTTACTATATGCAATAGTCACATTTCAAACTCAGTTCATTCTAGTCTGACTGTCAGAAAACCGCTCTTCTCGCCACTCGCCACTCATATTTCGCCACACAAAACGATTTGCGTAATATATCGATGGAGTATAATTTAGACCTAAAACTTAACTTTAGTTGGAAGCTCAGAAGAAACGTTAACAAAGACAGGCTTTCGTACATGGAAAAAAGCTTCTGGCGAAAGTGGAAAACTGGCTAATCATGCTAAAACGCAAATGCATATTCTATCAATGGAGCGCATGCAGAACTTTAAAAGTGAGAACCAACATATTGATGTGCAACTTGTTGGCATAGCTGAAGCTTCGAAGACAAGAAAAGAACAAGAATGAGAAGAAAATCGACAGATTGTCCAGACGATTTTTGATGTAGTCCGACATTTGGCGAAGCAAAATACCGCGCGTTCCGTGGACACAACGAGACAAATGATTCAGCCAATCGTGGAAACTTCCTGGAAGAACTTTTGTTTCTATCTAAGTATGACAAGCCATTGAAACGTTGGATGGAAACTCACCCAAACAATTTGTCATATTTTTCTCCCAGTATTCAGAATGAAATGATTGGCATCCTCAGCAATATGATCATTGAAATAATAAGATCTGAAGTGATTTCTGCCAAATATTTCTCAATTGAATGTGACGAAGTAACATCCCACAAACGGGCATTTATGTCTGTTATTGTTCGGTATGTCTACGATTATTGTATTTGGGAAAGGTGTATCAAGCTACATCGTGTGACTAATTTAACAGGACAAAGCCTTGCAGCTGTTATCATTGCTATTCTTGCGAACATGAACGTTCCTATCCGCAATTTAGTTGGTAAAGGCTTCGATGGGGCAAGTAACATGTCAGGCAAGGACGAAGGTGTTCAACAACATCTCACCGCAGCTGGTGCTGATAAATCGATATATTTCCATTGTTTTGCACACAAACTAAACCTTGTCTTAGAGAAGAGTGTTAACAACTTACCTTCTGTGAATGACGTATTTGATATTATTGGTTCCGTCTATCACTATCTCGAAGGGTCTCCGAAGAGGCATGCATTGTATGAGGAGAAGCTACAATTTCATGGCATATCGAAGGGAAAGATAGCATTACACACGCTTTCAGACACAAGATGGACTGGTCGATCCGACAATTTGGAGGTTGTTTTCAACACCTTGCCTGCTATCATATCGATGCTTAAAGCAATGTCTAAAGAGGGCGAATCAGCTGCAGATGGATTGCTCGTACGTATGCGAAAGCTCAAGTTCATTGCTTCGTGTATCGTATTGAAGAAGTGTTTTGCTCTAAGTAGATCGGTCTCAGAATATCTTCAGCACAAAAACATGGACTTGGTTTCAGCGGTGTCAGGTGTGCAATCTCTGAAAGATTCTTTGTCCTCCTTTCGAAACGAGGAAAAGATGGATCAGTTTCTGCAGGAGGCACGGAAATATTGCACGGACCAAGGATTGGTTGTGGACGACTTCGATCAGGTGGATCAGCAACATCCAGACAGACCAAAGCGTCCGCGCACAATTCCTTCCTACTTCAACGATGGTACATTCTATTTAGACCAAGATGCCAGAGCAATCCAAGAAGAAGTACCTGGTAATGACCGCCCAAGAGATCTCTTTAAGCGAGATTTTTTCTTCCCATTTTTGGACTGGATGCACAACGAGCTGGA